TAGTTCTCAATCAAATCTTATAGAATGGATCTGAGTGGATAGATGATTTATACTCCCAGGTAATAGTCATCTCTGGTCATCAAGTACTTGCATCAGCTCTTCCCAATGAATTGATGGAGAGAGTAGATTAAGGGGAAAATATTATCCATTAAAATGAATGTATATTTTGCTATGAGCAACCCCTATCTTGAGTTTGTGTGTGTGTGTGTGTGTTCTGATAGTCTTAAGATTTTTAATGTTCCCTCTCTAAGAACCACACCTACTTCCATAAATGGCTACCATGCTCTTTCTCTGCCAAATCTCCGACTCCCTAACTTTCAGATTTCACACTAGTTAAAATGATTTAAATATTTATAGAGCACCTCTTATGTTCTAGGCACAGTGTTAGGGACCACAAATGTAAACAAGCAGGATCAACAAAAAGTAAACAGAGCAAGAGACCTTGGTGCAGGACCTTGGTCTAGAAAGGAAGACAATTATAATGACAGCAAATCATGGGGTAAATACTGGCCATGAAAGCAAATAGCAGGCGTCTTGGTCCTGTTTAGAGGGCTGCTTGGAGGAAAATGAGATCATAGAGGATGAGTAGGAATTAGTCAGGTGATGAGTCGAAGGGCTATCCCAGAGAACACTTGAGCAATAGAGTGAGAGAGAGATTGATTTGTTCAAGCACTTCAAATGAATTTAGTGTTCAGTGTGGTGGAACCAGGAGGTGAAGGTAGGAAAGGAGTAGCCAGCTGAAAGTGTACACCCACTAAGGAGTTGCTTTGATCCTCTGGGAGGTCACTGACAAGTTTTAAACTGGGTGGCACAGTGAGTTAAGCATTGAGCTACTAACCACAAGGTGGATCATTCAAACCCAGCAGCCTCTCTGTGGAAGAAAGATAATAGAGCTGTCTACTCTGGTAAAAATCTACACCCTATGGAGCAGTTTGATTATATTCTATAAGATCTCTAGGAGTCAGAATTCTACCTATAACAGTGGCTGTGTAATGACTTCGTTAAATTTTCATTGTAGAAGGCTCTCCTCCTGGGGGCAGAGGGAAGAAACTTTCAACCTGGTCTTGAAGGAGGCTGGAATGCAGTAAGCCAAGTGAGAGATAGTTATTAGTGATTCGGGTGTGAGGTTGAAGAGAAAGTGGTCTGATTTGAAAAATATTTAGGCCAAGGAATAATTTCTAGACCTTAGTGGTCCATAAGTGGTGCAAGGGTGAAAACACTTGGCTGCTAACTGAATAGTCAGCTGTTTGGACCCACCAGCTCCTACTAAGTTGGCAAAAGATGGGGCAGCTGTTTCCATAAAGATTTACATCCTTAGAAACCCCACGGGGAAGTTCGACTCTCTCTTAGGCCTTGGAATGGACTCTGTGGCAGTGGGTCTTGGTGGTTCTCGTCGCGTGTATTGGTTTAGGACCACAAAGAGCCTGCCAGGGGAATGCCTGGTTTCTGCGATGAGCAACGTGGAGAGTCAACATTTTCCCCGAGGCAGTGAATGCCATCTTGAGTGTGAGGAGGCCACGTTCAGGAGGCGGACTTTTGGATACTAAATGTGAAGTGCCCGAGAAACATCTAAGTAGACGTATGGGAAATGCAACTGGGACATTCGGTTATATAGAGAGGTCCTTTGGATCTTAGGCCCAGACCTATGGAAGCCATTGGAATGAAGGAGGTAACAGGGAAAATGTGTGTCAAGTAAGACGTCTCCCACCAGCTCCTCCACTTGAGGAGCCTGGCAGTATAGCAGCAACTGCAGAGAAGGGGTACAGATTCATCAGCCAAGAAGAACTTATCACCCCATTTCCTAAGGTGTGGTTACTCTGAAAAAATGTTCCCGGAGAAATGACACCCTACTCCCAAATTTTTCCATAGTTGCTAAGTTTGGGGAAATCCGTTTCCTATATATCTTTCAGAAGCTGCGATCTGCATGGTTGGCGGTTGATACCACTAGCAGAGCTCCGTGGGAGAAAGACAGGGCTTCTACTCCATAAACAGCTGGTCTCCGAAACCCATCGGGGGTTGCTGTGAGTCAGTACAGACTCAATGGCCGTGAGTTCGGTGTTTGCTTGTTTGTTTGTTTTTAAGATATCTTTCACTTGAAAAGTATTAAGGGCTGAAAAGGTGTCAGTAAAGAATCTTTTCATCTTTGTTTAATGCCGCTTTCCCAATGAAACTAATAAATGATTTGTTGATTTTTAAGTTACTTGATTCATTCTATTTACACCTCACAGAACCAAATAGCCATAGAGTGGAACACGTTGGGATATTGATTTAGAAACAGTTTGAAAATGTGCCACTTCATCTCCTGGAATTATTTTAGATTAAAATAATCAAGAGACCAGATCATAAGTCCAATATTTCATCAGCAGTGATATGTGGAGCCCACCCCTGATGCCCAGTCCCTTCATCGTCTGGTAAATGCGGAGATGGTTGACACCATCCCCAGTGAGTGCCTTAAAGAATGCTCTTGCGGAATCTAGCTCTGCCCTCATTCTTCAAACCCTGGAACATTCACTGTCATACTCACTTTCCCCTCCAACCCTGGCGTAAGTCGTATTTTTGTTCTTTACAATACTACAGATGAGGAAGCTGAAACTCAAAGATGTTACGTAACTCTCCAAAATTCATGCTGATAAGTGAAGAGCTGAGGTTGAAAATGGTCTTTTTTCTGCTACAAAGTCAGTAACTTCCCCATTTTGTTCTCTACCTTAGTTCCCAAAGGTCTGGCATGTTGTGGCTCTTGTGTTGTGAGAATTCTCATCTCCTATTTTTACTGCCAAAGAAGCCCTGCTGGCACAATGGGGTAAGCACTTTGCTGCTGAGAGGTCAGTCAGTTGGACCTACCAGCTGCTCCACAGGAGAGAAGACTTGGTAATCCTCTCCATAAAGATTTCAACCTAGCCACTAGGTCAGAAGCAACAAAGCCCACATGATAGAAGCACACCAGCCTGTGTGATCACGGGGTGCCGAAGGAATCAGTTATCAGGCATCAAAGAACAAAAAAATCTTATCATTGTGTGCTAGCCTGTGCAATCACAAGGTGTCGAAGGGATCAGGTATCAGGCATCATCAGAATCAAAATATCATATCATAGTGAATGAGGTGGGGAATGAATGAGGTGGGGCCCATTTGTAGGTCACTGGACATCCCCTTGCAGAGGGGTCTTGGAGAGGAGATGAGCCAGTCAGGGTGTGATGTAGCAACAATGAAACTACAAAGGGTGTTAGATACCACTATTGTCTCCATTTTATTGGCTCTAGCAAATAATGGATGTGGAGGAGGTAATAGACTAACTTTGGACAGCCTTGGATTTTAGTCCCACGTCTGTCATTTCTCATTTGTACAGTCTTAGGGCAATTCTTTAACTCTTTAAACCACTATATTCCCATCTATGTATGGGGACTACTGTGGATTGAGTTGTCGGTTATTTTTATATGCCATCGATTTTTACTTCTAGGGACCCCATGTGACAAAATAGAATTATTTCCATCATTTTTAGGGTGTGAACAGAAATAGATCACCAGGTCTTTCCCTCATGGATCTGCTGGGTGGATTTGCACCACCAACCTTTTGGGTAGTAGCTGAGATGGGAACTGTTACATCACCAGAGAGCCTTATTGACAGAATTGTGCTCCCCTCCCACCAGTACAGATAAAGTACTGACCCCTGAGGCACCTATGGAGGTGGTCCTCTCAGGAAATAGTATTTCTTGATGTTATTAGATTAATGAGTCATACAAGAGTAGGGTATGTCCTAAATCTAATCATTTATGAGTTATAAAAAGACCCTACTGGACACAGAGCCACAGGCAGGGAGCAGACAGACAGTGTGTGAGGGGTTGTCTCCAAGCAAAGGAACAACAAGGATTTCTGCCAACACCAGAAATGAAAAGAGAGGCCCTCAGACTGACTCCGGTGAGAACTTGAGTCAGATTTTCAGCCTCCAGAATTGTGAGAAGATAACTTTCTGTTCTTTAGGGTCACGCGCTTGTGGGTGTCTGTTACCACAGCACCAGCAAATGAAGAATTTTAACAGTAATCCTCCCTTGGGATTATTGTTGGATGCTGTCACCAGTAACTGAAGCGAGGAGGCTGAAATGTGCTCAAGACATCACGGTGAAAGCTGGAACTAAATCTAGATTTTGGGTCTCTAAAGCTGGTGCTCCTGCTATGAACCAAATTGCTTCTACCAGTGCATTCTGTGGGGATTGACATCAACTATGCTCTTTTGAAGGACTGTCTAGCTTCTGAAACACACGTGCATGAAAATGGTGATCCAATCACCCTCGAGGCGAGGAATCTGCCCACTGGCAGACGAAAGAAGCGTGTGTGTGTGTGTGTGTGTGTGTGTGTGTGTGTGTGTGTGAGGGGGGGGGGGAGAATGGCTTTATAAAGGCCTTTCTCCATCTCAGTCATGAGTCTTTTTGTTCCCCCTAAATATGGATTCTTGAGGTGTGACCTTGATCAAGAAGCACTGTCCTTTTCTAGACAAAAGCATGGCTAACTAATGCTACCACCCACTGCCATGGAGTGGACTTTGACTGTCGTGAGCACATGTGCATAAGCACAACTGTGATTCATCGTGAGCACGTGTGCCTAAGCAGAACCATCCAAGCCGTCAGATTTCACCGACTTTCCCTCCACACCCAGATTGCGAGGCCTTTCTTCTGAGGACTTGAGTAGACTCAAACCTGCAAACGTTTGGCCAGCACCTGAGTGCACTGTATCATTTGCACCATCAGGGCCAACTCACTAGTGCTCGCAGATGAGTCTCAGAACCACCTTGGTGCCCAGACTCTCCTTTGTGTCTCAGAGAGCAGTTTAGATGATTTGAGGGTGTGGTGAAAGGGATGTTCTAAAAACCAGCGGGGGAGGGTAGCCTCTCTGGTTCTCATGAGGGCGGACTCAGCCTCACTTCCTCCTTTTACTCTTCTGGGCTTCCTGTCATCACAGCGTGATCACATTTATCCTACCATCACTTCTCCTTTTGCACAAATAGCTCAGGACATCCGCGTCAGCAGCCTTGTTGCGGCCAGCTCAAGGACAGTTAGCCAATTCTGCCTAAAGAACCTAAGAAAGGCGCCCAAGGTAAGTTTGATGGCATTTTGATCTGGTTTAAGAGTGAAGCCATTGTACGTGGGGTAGCGTGTCTTCTTGGATGTCACCATATGCCTCTAAAGGGACGCCAAGTTCCCTTCAGCTTGTTCACGTACGTCTGCTGTAAGAAGTAAAATGATCAGCCAGTTCCTTGTTATTGTCACTGAGTGTCGCTGAATGATTCAAACCCAGAGGTTCGACAACGCAGAGTAGAAATGCCCCCCAAAGTTTCCCAGGCTGAAATCTTTCCAGGAGACGGTGGCCGGGTCTTAAGTGCCACAGCTCTCCTATGGGGTTAGAACCACTGACCTCTGGGTTAGCAGACTTACCATTATGCTACCAGGGTCCCTGTAACAAAAGCCGAGTCTCTCCCGTTATCTAATATTGTGGCATTTACTTGCTTAAATTGCTATACAACTTGAATTTCTCTGTGTGGTAATTTCTGACGCCTGGGGCTGTCTAGAATGAAACTAGGAGATGTCCTATAGGAGGTCGTCTTTAGAAGATTGGTCTTGTGATTTAAAATGTAAAGAGAGAACCACCAGGCAGAGCCATTTAGAAAGACAGTTGGGAGTTTGAGACACGGGTCCTGTTCATTTGAAACAAATTTCAATAGCAGACTTCATGACGCCCACAACATTTCCTTAGAGATGCCGGACGGAAGGACCGTTAACATCACATTTAACTCAGGAGCACATGACATGCTCAGTAAATGATTTTGAGAAGTGAAAGGTAGACATCTATAAGGGATACCCAGTCTGGCCAGGTTTAAAGGGCAGGAAGGATATTGTCAACCTCAGAATTCCCCAGAAAACTCTTGGTATACAAAACATGAATATGAGTAAACACAACATGGAGTACATTTATGAAAATCAACCAACAAACCTCAATGTTGAAATGATTTTCAACGAATGAGTGAGCTTCCATGGACCCCACCAAGTGGTGGCCAAAGTTTAAGCCTTGGTCCTAATTTTTCAGTGACCGTTGAGCTAGCTGCTGGGGGTGAAATCACCACTGGAAATTCTGTATTAGAGATTTCTCCTTCCAAGGTCTGCGAGACTCTCACTTGACTGTGCCCTAAAAGAAAAGGGAGCCATCCCCTGAGACCCCAACTATCCTCTCTAACTAAAGGGGATGGGAAGGGACAGAGTTATTGAGCCTTGATTATGAAACTAAAGACTGAACTTTTCAGTGAATGTATTTAATAAGTAGGGTTAACTTCCTCTAGAGGGCAAGGCACGGTGCTCTGGAATGTACTGGTAGAAGAAGTTTATGGGCTAGTCTGCCCCTTGAGCAATTCTAATGGAAGATAAGAAGCCACCTTTTAAAAGCATGTTTATGTCGGCTCTCTGGAAGAAAGCTATGTGAAAGCGGAATCGTAGCTGCTGACTGACAAAGACATTTTGCTTTCTCAGTTTTGAGAGGAATCTGCAGTTTTGAAATTGTTGTTGTATTAGATCAGGGGCTGGGCTGAAACACAATTTCCTCTGATATTTCCTGTGTGGGCCAGTAAAGGGGATCTAGTTTTCAATGAAACGATGGGTCTGTTTTATACCCACAGAAAATGATTTAGAATCGATCCTTCCCTGGCAATATCTGACCATCACCTAAAGACTTTGCCTTTGTTCAGTTTCAAGAGGCACCGACTGAAATGGACAACCTGTGTTGGTCTTGGCCTTCTTATGGCTTCAGAGTTACCGCTAACTGACCAGGGTCTCTTGGGGTGCAGACCTCAATGGCCCTGCTCCCACCCCACAACATACCAGGGTCAGGTATTGTGATAGGTGCTGGAAAGATGAGGAAAAACGATGTGGTTATCTGCCTCAAGTGTTGTGAGGCTAGTGTGGAGGACAGACACAGCAATGTACAACTATAAGGCGATGCCATCTTTTTTTTATGACAGAGAGTGTTCGCACAGTATTTTGGAGGAATTTTGGACTATACCAGACTCCCTGGGACAGGGCTTGGGTTCATTTTGAAAATCTGAGTTTGCTATGGGGCTTGTGAACAACAGCATTTAGATGAAGGCAGACAGGCAGTCCATGCAAAGTCCGCGTAGTGTGGAGGCTAAGCGTGTTGAGAATGTGAGTAATTAAGTGGGACCGGAATGGAATGAGCCATGGATTGAGGACTCCAGAAAGTACACATCGTTCCTATACTTGGTGCTGGGACTCTCGCAGATAAAGGAGAAGGTCAGGTCTGATATTCAGGGTGGGGCCTGGTCTAACCCTGGATGGGGCTAAACACTAGACATCACATGACTGACATGGGGTAGACAGGCAGGTTTCATCCCTTCAACCTAGCGTTTTCCCTCAGGTTAGCATGGAGGGTGGAGCCATTTGAGAGGTTATAGCCATTTTCTTTTACTCAGCTGCCGTTCCAGGAAATGCTGTGTTGATCTAGTTACAGTGGTTTGGTTTGTGTTCCTAAATTTGTCAGCCCACAGTACTTGCAGGGTGAGAGAACTCACTCTGCTGACATCCCCTTGGGCCCTAGAGACTGGGCTCCTGCTATCACTGTAGGCACTGAAAGAAGCAGCCAGAAGAACCCGACAGCTGTGCAGACTTGACCTTGGTGTGGCTGCTGGGGCAGAGGAGGGGGAAATTACAACTAGAGATATAGACCCTCTGTTTGGGAAGACGATCTTGAAGCAGGTGTGAAAGACAGGTTTTCCCCAAACCCGCAGGTAAGCACTCAAAGTGGGTGAGGTCACAGATCTCTGTGTTGGAATCTACTCAACACAGAGCTAAGTCCTCTATTCATTTCCCATTGAGTTCCTACACAAGCAGTACATCGTAACTGTGACAAAGAATTATTGAAGACGTACCATGAGACTATATCTGTATAATCACTGTTTGGAAGTGAAAATGTTGCTCAGTGTTCCAGAATTCTTCAGCGAAGAATCAAACACTTTCATCGGCTCTTTGTAGAAAGAGATAAAAACAAACTTCTGACTCATGATGACTCTATGTGGTCCAGCGTGGAACAGTCCCATGGAGTTTTCTTGGCTATTATCTTTACAGAAGCTGATCACCAGGCTTTCCTCCCACAGTTCCACAGGATGGGTTCAAGTTACCAGCCTTTAGTTAGTAGTCATGCACAGAACTTGTAGGAGGAGAGAGCCAAACATCAAAACCCATCGTCATCCATAAGAAGGGATATCAAACCAAACCCACTGCCATTTCGTCCTTTCTGACTCATAGACTGAGTCAGAGAGATCTTCTACAGGGTTTCTGAGGCTGTGAATCTTTACAGGAGCAGACAGCCTCATCTTTTACCTGTAGAGTGGAGGTGGGTTTGACCTGCCGACTTTGCAGTTAGCTGTTCAACAGTTACCCAACAGGGAAACCAATAATTACCTTGCAGAATACCATGGTTTTGTACATTTATTATGATTACCTCTAGGAGATTGAGTTTCAGATTATTTTATATTTTACCTTTTGCTCTTTTCTTTAATGCTTGAAATTTCTTACAAAGACCACATAGCACATTTTAAAAATGGTATTCCCAAAAAATAACTTCAGGTCTTTGCTATTTTGTTCCTAAAATTCTTGAAGAAACTCATTTCTTCGTAGAAATGGACTGGAGACTCTAAATGTGGTCTTTTAGTCAATAGTCACAGAACCATGCACTCGGGTAGTGAGTTGCTTTGGAAACCTTACATCATTTAACCCTCAGAACTACCATTGAGGTAGGTTTTAATATCATGTTTTAAAGATGAGGACGTTTTCAGAGAGATGATTAAAAAACTGCCCAAAGGCACAGTGTCACTGCCATAATTCAAAACTAGACCTCACTGATTCCAAAACTAGTGCTTATTACATTGCTTTTCATGGAATATCATATTCCTTGAGCTGTTAATAAGAAATTTCCATATAAAATTGGCAGTTGTGTGACCAAAAGCCAGTTTGCATTAGCAGGTGAGCACTTTAACCACTTGGACTACCCAATTTTTTTCCCCTTCTCATTTTATTGTATTGTGAATTGGGTGAAATTTTTATAAGCAAATCATTTTATATTCAATGATTCATAAACATTTTGTTTTCCATGCCCTGTGTAACATCACATCCCACTTCCTTCCTGTTGTCGTTCTTCCTTCTCTCCTAACCCTTTTGCACTTTGCCCTTGAAAAAATGCTGTTCCTTTGACCTCAAGCAGTTGTAAGGTGTGCGTACCTCATTAGCACAGTGATACCTTGGTTGTCAAATGGCTCCAAGCTCTAACTTTCCACTACTCAAACGTTGAAGTTAAAAAAATCTGCTCAGTGTTGATAGCCTTGCTCAATAGCTTAACTGAAAAATCTGACTTGAAAAAAACCTGTACAGGCCGAGAATATATCGCATGTTACGTCTTGCCAAATATACAACGGGGCGACCCTTCAGTCTCTGCTCTGGCTCAGACAACTTATAGTGTTTGTATTAGTGCACTCAAACACTCATCATTGTGCTTTATTTTGCACTTCATTTGCATAAAATATCATAATCATGGCTCCAAAGAAGTTTAGTGTTACCAGCAGTAAAGCTAAGAGGAAAACTATGAGAGCCACGATACAGTTAAGAAATAAATCATTGCGAAATTTTAACCAGGTCACCGCTTGTCTGATTTGGCTGCTGAATACAACATGGCTTAGTCAACATTATCAACATTATTCTGAAAGAAAAAAAAAAAAACCAAACACGATTAAAGTGGCTAATGTAGTAAAAGTTGTGAAATCGTTAACCATGAAACAAAGAACCCAGAGGTTGAAAAGTTCCTGTTACTTTAGATAAATTAGAAACAATTCTTTTTGTTATTATTATGTGTTTGTTTCTTGCTGTTGTTGTTATTATTTTGTTGTTTTATTTGGTTTTGACTTTGTTGTTTTATTTGGCTTTGCCTGCTTTTTGCACTTATTAATGTATTTGCATGTCTATCTAGATAAGATAGACGGGATAAATAATTCAGAGGTGAAAAGAACAGGACCAATGGTTCCAGGGGGATACAGGAGAAGG